CATATAAGCCGAAACACGTGTCGTTATTCTATTTTTGCTATTCCTCATCTATTTCCTCTAATTACTTTTTTGAAATTTCAGCATTTGAGTGACAAAGGTCAATCGCTGATATCATTAAAAATAAATTAGTTATTAAACCTCATCATATTATTAGTATGAACTACTTGAATTAATTACAAAATATAATTGTACAAAATATTAGAAATAAAGTGACAAGTTTTTGTCGACTTCATAATTTTTTTTTTAATTGGAAGTAGGTATTATTATATATGTTCATATCTTTTTTTTGCTAAAAAGGTACCGCGTGAATCCTTTTTTTTGTTATCTAGCCATTTGTTCCCAAACACAATTATATACATCTAACACTAGCACCAATCTCATTGACGGACTCCTGAAGAGGACAGCATAGCCTGTCGAAAGCTTGAGTATTTGTAAGTCAGAAGGGTACACTTTCCTTAATTTGTCGATATCCCCAAACACAAGTCTTTCATTTAACTAGTTATTATCGACAATAACTATATACGTATATATACATATATACAGGGTGACTTCGAAGTTGAGTCATTTATTTTAACAGTGAGTAGATCTGATCAAAAGAAATGTTTTTTCTTTTAACATTTTTCTGGTAAAATTAAAGTAACAAAGTTATAGCCCTTTAGAAGATTGAGTACCGCCCTGTCTCAATAATAATATTATGTGCTCGTGTTTGGCAACAACGGATATAATCCGAATTATCGGTTCATCGCATCGGAAACAAAAAAGCGAAAGAATTTGAAATGTTTATCACGATGTTTTTCGCCAGTCGGTAACGCGTGAGTGAATAGTGGTGTTTGTTGCGTGACTCAAACGAAATGAAAAATGGCACATGTTTTACGAAAATGCTGAACTTGTGGACATGATTCTTATTTACGGGGGGGGGGGAGTCTTTACAAAATGCTGCCGCGGCATCACAGATTTGTGCGAATCGGTTTCCCAATCGAGTGCAACCAGCCCCTCGTGCCTTTGTTAATGTAGTACAAAGGGCTCGTGAATCGGGTGACTTAAGACCTCACTAGCAAAGTAGTGGTTTAAGCTTTTGGTAAAAGAACCGTTCAGCCATAAAAGCTCTCTATTGTTGTTGCCTGAACACCAAACTGGTGGCTTAATGTTGTGTGGAATGCAAATTTGCTTTCTGCAACATATTTGCTCTAAAATAAGGTGTTTAAAATATTCTTATAGCATAGTTATACAACGCCTTATAGGACAAATTTTTAACTATTGCATAAACGTTTATACGGCATATTTGCACGTTAGTCAAAATGGTTGTGTTGTGGCATCGATGCTAACGTTTATAAAACAAACCCGAGCCTTGTTGTTTTGCTGTGCAATTTACTACTTTTGCCAACAAATTGCTCCCAAAGGAAGCACTTATACAACTGTTGTTTATGGATGCTACAACACAACCATTTTGACTAACGTGCAAATATGCCGTATAAAATAGTTGTATAAACGTTTATGCAACAGTTAAAAATTTGCCCTATAAGATGTTGTATAACTATGCTATAAGAATATTTTAAACACCTCATTTTAGAGCAAATATGTTGCAGAAAGCAAATTTGCATTCCACACAATATTAAGCCAGCATTTTGGTGTTCAGGCTACAACAATAGAGAGCTTTTATGGCTGAACGGTTCTTTTACCAAAAGCTTATACCACTACTTTGCTAGTTGGCATATATATATATATATATATATATATATATATATATATATATATATATATATATACCATTTACCAAATGAAAAATACTTAGTTGTCTTTTAATTCTAAAATCAATTAGATTTGCCAAGTTCTATCAGATCAAGAACATCTAAAATAAATTATTTTAAAATGTGCCCCTTGCGATGTTGACAAATTTGTCATATGGAACTAAAGCTTGTATCCGCATTTAGTGTTTATTTGGGTATCTAAATTCAGTACTTAGTCGAATCAATTATAGTTGTTGATTTAACAAATCAAGAATTTATCCATATCGACACCTTGCCTCTACCCTGACCGGCAACTTACATAACGGTAACAAAATATATTGGTTGCCTACCCTTTTATTATACGAGTGGCACAGATCAATTAGGAAGATTTATTTAGTTAGAAATAGGATAACGCTAATCAGTAAAAATACACAGCATTAAAGTAATAAACATGTAGCAATAAATGCCTTAAGATTTAATGCTTTTTAAAAGAAAAGAACATCAATCAGCAAATGCACAAAAACAAAGTCAAGCATTAATAAACTAAGTGGATCTTTCTTGAATCTATGAGATGTAGGTACCTATAGGCAATTTGTTGAATGCATTGAAACTTTTAAAATTAAGGGAATTCATAGATATCATTGAGGCAGGTTTAGAAATATATATGCCCATGTTTTGTCTGGTTGGATAAAGGTGAACATCACAAGCAAAGTTAATCTGGTCAATCACGTACCTCCTAGACGCAATTCCTCGAACTATCTTAAAGATAAAAACCGTTGTCCGATAGACATTTGCGACACATAAAAAATGTAATGTATTCGGCATTGCGTTTACAGGTGACAAACGATTACACCTGAATATAACTTTCATTGCACGATTTTCTAGTTTTCGCAGCTCAGCTAATTGAGTTCTATTGAATAAATAGTTAAGTGTTGGACGATGGTCAAAATATGGCTGAATTATAGTTTTGTAGACTGTTACAAGCAGTAGCTTTATTTGAAATGAAAGGGAGAGCTGTTTATTCTTGAAAAAAGTAGTTTTTATATCTTTTTATAGGTTTATTCAAAATGTTTATCAAAAGCTAAACAGTTGTCCAACTGAACTCGCAGGTAGTTGACTTTTTTTTATACTCCAACTACCAGGAAGACCTAAACCTCCATGGGGTACCGTGGGGCTATAGGGGGGTACAGTTGAAAGGAGGAACGTCACACGGACTCTGGCGAGGAAACACGTGTGCATGCAACATGCACACATTCTGGCCCCGCCTACGAGATCCGCGGGGTGGTACCTTTGCGTTCGACAGTCAGAGACCGTCTACCACCTGTCTACGGGCAATCACAACATCCATAGCCAAGAGAAAAATGTCTCGGGATTCGAACCCGCAGAGCTTCGGCGACTGATCAGGAGACCGAAGAGTCTACTACTGCAGCCACCGCTGCTGCCTAAAATCTACGTTGACAATTTCAACTTTTTCATTGTTAATGGGAATATCAACATCAGACATGCTAGTAAGACTATGTTTATATTGTTATGCTCATGGCGTTTTTTTTTATCCAAATTGGGTTTAAGCGGATTGCTTTCCATATAGTTAACAACCTTATCCAAAATAGTACCATCTTGTTAATAGCTTTATCCACATTATTGTCAGAGCATGCCAGTACCGTATCATCAGCAAAAATATCAATGAATTCACATTCATCAGAGAGGTGCATATCTTTGAGGGCTAAAATGAAAAGAGGGGATTCAGCACACTGCCCTGCGGTACCCCGATTGTATTTTCAATTATAGAGGGCATATTCTGATCCATTCTCATTCTGCCATTTAAGTAATTAAAAAAGAATCATAACTTTAGCAGAAACTCCATGCATTGCAAGTTTTGCTTACAATAACATATATTTCTAACTGTGGTCTCAAATCCCCTTTTCAAGTCAAGAATCACAGCAATAACCTACTTATTATTGTCAATTTCATTTTCAAATTTACAAACAATCTAATAGCAGTTTCGGTCGAGTACATCTCATGAAATGCTGATTGTTGGTTATCAAGAAAATTATTTGCTTCAATATGTCCAATCAGTTTGTTATAGACAGCTATTTCCAAAAGGTGGCAGAGTATTGATATGACTGTGTTCTTGTGCTTTTATTGTTTGTTAGTTTTGGAAAAGGGACAACTGTGCTAATTTTTAGTTCATCTGCTATAACACCTGTTTCTAGTTATGTACTTATAAGATTTAAAATTACCTTACCCATTGTTTCCAAAATTTTCTTCTACATTTTACAATTAAGAACTTCATAGAAACGAAACTTATTTAATGATTTTATAATTTTTTTGAGATCTTATAAGGTGAGGAACTGGGAAAGTTGCAGTTACTATTACTCCAGGCATTACACCTCCTTTATGCTATTGACAAACAACAAGTTGAAATTTTCAGACATTTGTACCTCATCTCTTACAACTACAATGCTGTTATTCATATTATACTCTATGTTCGTGGGACACCCAGTCGATTTGGTATTAACAACCCTTTTGAGAGTTTTTTACATCTGAGTTGTTACTATATATCTGTCAATTTTATTGAAGTAGTATTTTTCTTTCTTACTCCCAAGGAGATCGAACACTTCAGCAGTACTTTTGATAGATTTCCCAATTCATTTTTTAAATCATATCCTATACTGCTGCCTTAGAGCTCTTATAGCTAGAAAGCTGACATTCATTAACATGTATGCTTCAATATTAAACCATGGTAAGTTATTATTGAAAGTACACATTTGTATTCGAGCTATGTTATTAATAATTGTTTCACAATTATCATAAATCTCATCATATAATAAATTCACACTAATAGAATTAAGTGATATCAGTTGAGTTTGGATAGAAGTTAAAGTATCATCACATATACTTCTATATTTTCTTACTACATCATGATTAAAGTTGACTGACATCACAGCATGCATGATCACTTATTCGAGCAGCCAAATTATTCTTATAAACTAACACATAATCTATTAAAGATTATCACTAAATTAACAATGAGAACCCAATTAAAATTAGCTGTAAATATACTGTCACGAATGGATTCAAAATTATCGATAAATGTTACCTCTGAACTAGATGGAGTGTGATATAAACATACAATGAACAAATATGATGATCCTAAACTCATTTTTATAAATTTGCACCAGTAATTGCCTCCAAGGCGATCTATCACTTGTTAATCAAAAAGTTAATATCCCTTTTCACAAAAATACTAACACTGCCAGTATGTCGACTCACCAGTTTGGATTTCATGTCTTCAGTATCCTGGGTTGACTTTTGGTCTATTTTGTAGAGACGTAGAAACCACCATTGGTTGGTTGTTTATAAATTTAATCGTCTTTGAATTATCACCACTTGCAAAAATCCTTCAGCTCAGCCATGACCTTTGAAAAGTTGTCCATCTGCACCTTTGTTTCATCATTTGAAATTATTTATTTACCTTTAAAGTGTCACTATTACTATGAACAAGTACAACTGAACTGAGGACACACCTTATTTGGTAGAAACATCCCCAAACAGAAAACTTCCAAATTATTCCTATCAACTGGTATATCAGAGAGTCCTTTCTTAAATGATTCTTTATCCTCTCTATTACGTTCAACTTGTGTGATAAGAAGAGACTCATTCATATTATAGACAATAACATTTGCTGTTCTGCTTATCCAGCATTTCAGAGATTATATCCTCCATATTTATATAAAATTTGTACTATCTTTTTTAAGTGTATCATTTATACATTTAATAATTTCCTCCAAATTAGCAATTTTCATGATACAAAACAATAATATAAGGGTGGATTAAAAAGTTCCTGTGGTAAATTTATGCCATCGAAAGGAAATAATTTGTGAAGTTGGTACAAAATATTTAAGGTGACTGTATGGGTGGTAATAAAAAAAACTTCAGTCTTATATTAAGTTTCATTTACATTTCTGGGCATTGCAAACAAATTAATAAATTTCAAATAATGACACTACAGTTCTAGAATTTGAACAGATGTGGCAGTTCCTTCAATATATATAAAAACAAAATTTTTTTGTTAAAATATATTGGTACATAATCAGTAATAGAAGAAAATCTCAACTAGACAGGAATTACAAAGAAAACACAAATGCTATTTTGATCTAAACATACCATACTTTTCTAGATGACCATAATATCCAAATGGAGACTATACATAAATTTAATCCCTCCTCTTTTTTTTATCTCTATCATCCCTCTTTTCAGGCTCTTTTCTCTTGCTAGCTCTCTTAGCCTGTGACAAGAACTGATCCAGACCAAATGGATCCTCTTCCTTCTCAAACTGCACTGGCCCACCAGACCTGCCAGCTCCTGACCTATCAGTTCCACCAAACTCCTTGTCTGGCACAAACCTGTTGGTCCTGATTGCTTTCTCCAGCTCTTCAGCATCCATTCCTCCATACACATCTTTATCAACATTTTTGCCTGGTCTGTAAATGTGGTTTGCCATGGATCCACCATCTCTCCAAGGTTTGTCATACACATTGTAGGCCTCGTCATCACCATAGCCATGACCCAAGCCTTGCGCTTGTCCAAAGAGCCTTTGGTCGAATTGGGTTTCACCACTTGATGATACACCTCTAGCAGGCATGCCAAGTGCAATTTGTTCAGAAATGTCTCTTTCTCGTTCTCTCATTAGCTTGCTGCGTTTTTCTGGGGCTGCCCTAGCCAAATTCCTATCTCTAGCTCTTTCTTTATGCCTATCCTGCCTCAGTAACTCCCTTTCTTGTTCATCCTCATCAACCTTTGACAGCCCTGAACTACCTCCAGGAGCAGTAGTCCGGATACCAGCCCTTTCTTCTCTAGCTCTTTGAGCTAGCTGCCTCAGATGCTCTTCCTTAGCCTCTTTTTCTTTCTGCGCCAATTTCTTCTCAAGTTGAGCTCTTGTCTCCACAGCTTCTCTTGCCTTACGATCTGCTATATATAAAGCTTCAGCTAACTTAGCAAAATTCTCATTGATATGCAGTTGTTGCAAACCACGACCATCTGCAGCTAAGCGTTTGTCCAAAGGTACTGTGTAACCCTTAGCGTTCTTCCAGTTCGAGATACAAGGTGGTATCTTCCATTCTTTTTGCTCCTTAACAGTTACCCTTCTTGTAGGGCTGTGCAAGACAGGTGCAGGGGGTGATGGGGGCCCCCTAGGAATCTTCTTGTTGATTTTGAATCTAGGAGGTTCCATAGGGTCCACTTGAGCCTCCACAAGTCTGATGACTCTTTGTTTTGCCCCTGAATTGAATGCGGCACCTTGTTGTGAAGGTGTATATCTGATAAACTGAGCTGGGCCTTGCTTTTCAGCTGCTCTAATGGGCATAGCTGCAGCAATCTTAGAGTTTGTTATTTTCTGCAATGCTTGTCTGGTCTTTTCAGTGATATCTTCAATTTCCTCTTCATTTGGCTTCTCCAAGCTCGGGTCATTTTCTGCAACGACTTCAACAGGCAGCAAATCTGACAACTTCGAGTATACAATCTTATCCTTAGAGTGCCCTTGTCTAGCAATAACATCGTACTTAACTTTACCATCAGCGCCTAGTTGAACAGCTATTGCATTTGACTCAGATTCTTTCTTTCTACCCATCTCCAAAGGGTATTGTGCTACGTGAATCTCAGGAAAGGCCCCTCCGTCTCCGTAATCAGTCACATTGCGGGGCACCCAGCCTCTTCTTTGGCCATAAGGTGGTGAGATGGACTGGGCGCTCACAAGGGCTGTGCTATTTATGGGATTTGCTTGGGCATTTTTTCTTCTTTCGTCGTCCCTATCCCAAACGGACTGTACTGGAGGTGGGAGGATGCTCGACAGCTCCATTATTGGAAACTGTTAATGAACTTTCACGAAAAACTGAACCCCACTGTATTTCTTTTACAAATAAACTAGCGAAAACGAACGAGACAAGTGAAACGTCAATTGTCGTCATTTGACGTTTCATTCATTTCAATACTCCTACGAATTCCGCATACTCGCAGTGACCAGAATTCAATGCCGTGTTGCCAGTCTCTACTTTTTGTGTCTAATATGCGAACAATACAAGTTCTCTATTCACCTCTTTGAAATGAGGGAGTCGAATGACTGAGAAGTTGTCGTGGTTCTCTTATTTCTTGGTGAACTAACTATATATCTGAATACTGCACAGTGGGACAAGTAATGCGAAACGCGCCCATAAATCCATATTTATAAAATAATTAGTACTATCATCATAATTTGCAGATGGTTAGAAAAATGAATAATGCATGTTTTCTCGGAATTTTGACGGCTTAAAAGGTCTTTAGATATATCTACCTGATGTCAAACATGGGCTTTCTTATAAGTAATAATAATATTCCTACATATACATATAACACTTCCGAATAGAAGACAAACTATGAAGTAGACGAAAAACCTGTCATTTTATTACCAATGTGTTGTACAATTATACCTTTTGTAATTAATGTAAGTAGTTCATACTAATAAGGATATTAATAGGTTTATTTTTATTTATATCAGCAATTGAGCTTGTCACGCCAATGCTGAAATTTCAAAAAAAGTCTTTAGAGGATATAGTTGAGGAATAGCAAAAATAGGATAACGACGCGTTTCGGCTTATGTTTTCTTACACCAACCGAAATAGACAATTGAAAATATAAGAACTTGGCGAATAGCGGCAAATGTATGGAAAATATGTGAGACTATTATGTCTAAGTAGTAAACGTCTTCCGCTGATACCAAAGATGCTACATTAATAATCCCCACACCTTACAATCACCAACTCTCAACCACTTCAAAAAATGGCATTATGTAGGTTGACTCTACAATTCCCACGAATGCCGTCATAAAGGGTTATGTTCATGACAATCTGAGACTCCATCCTCTTCTAAAAAAGCTTTATGAATACAGAAAATGTATGAAGGCAACATGAGTTTTAGTTCTTAAAAACATTAGAGGAAAATGCATTTAGGTATAAAAATTTCACATGTAAAAGTGTGAAACATAAACTATAAAAATACATAAAAACTAAGAGAATATATGTCAAAATCACAGAAAATAATGATCGCTTTATTTTTTGGCTCTTTTCTCTTCTTGATCTGGCAACCATGTTTCTCGTCGGTGCTGTTGCCGTTAGTGAGAAATCAACTTTCCCGCCCAAAGTCCATTTTTATTAATAGGGAGATATTGCAAACATCTGCCTTATTAGTGCAGACCTTATTTTGACATCTACGCATGCGCACATACAATTCTGTATCTATGAGGAATTAATAGGGATAAGGCACGTCCTTATTTAAGCTATAATAGGGGGAGCTTATTTAGGCGTTCTTATGTCACGACGATTCACGATCTAAGCAAATCGGGTGTCGTCGCAAGCCTATTTAACCTATAAATTTGTACTCTCAAAATTCAACGATTGCTGAAGCGTTTTGGTAACTATGAATATGGATAAAAAGAGAATAAGGTTCACGTATGACGACGAAATGATTTTGCTGCGTGAATTTATTGCACAAAACCCTATCCGTTCTCCTGAGAAGTGGGACTCAATCTTACAGAACTTGCGAGAGCTTACGGGAAAAGAATTTATTTTGAGAACAATAAAAAAGCATCTGAACCATCTTCTGGAGCTGTTCCTCAAAAAGGAGGTTAACAGCAAAGTCAAGTAAGTATAAGATAGCACACTGTACCTACATGTATTTTAATAACAAGAGAATGCTTAATGTAAGACTTGGTGAAACAACATTTGTGTTTGACAGGTCTGGCATAGAAGAAGTCTATAATGAAAGAGAACATATGCTCCAAGAAGCCAGCGAGTTAATGAAAGAGACCTGCTCAACTACACCAGCAAAAAAGAAAAAAGTGGAAAACAAAGCGAAAGATATGATTGAAAAGACACGCAATGAAAGAGAGGCTATGGCACTGCTGGCCTTTTCTGATGTGGATGACACTTTAATCGACCATGATTACGGTAAAATAACTATTCTAAACATTTTTTATACATATTACTATATTATCACAGTTTTAGGTGTTTGTGTTACAGTCGACGTTGACACAGAAAATAATAATAAGTCTGTACAAGATGTTGGAACTGCAAAACAGATATCTGTACAAGATGTTGGAACTGCAAAACAGATATCTGTACAAGATGTTGGAACTGCAAAACAGATATCTGTACAAGATGTTGGAACTGCAAAACAGATATCTGTACAAGATGTTGGAACTGCAAAACAGATATCAGGTAAAACAATGATTAGAATTACTGCTTGAATCTTCAGTAATAGAAACACTAAAACAGATCCACAGGTTATGGAGTATGACCAGTAAATAAAACCAGTGCTCGATATAAAATGTGTAGGTACTTATGTTATATACTTTGATAAAAGCCAGTGCAATGACTAACCTGTCAGTGAACTTCTTTTGTTTAGCACTGCGGTTTTATTTACAGGCCAGACTAACCAAATAGTGGATCCAGATGACTACAGCGTATATAGCATTGCCATGGCATCCCATTCAGAGGGCTACTACTAGATTAAGTAGTTTCTAGTATGTTATACATTACCTATAAAACAGAAAGCTCAAAACTACCTCTTACATTTCATGTTCAAGATTAAATACATTTGTTTATTGTTGCTGTTACTTACTTTTCGATCATTACAGCCCCCCGTACCAAAAGGATGAACAAAAGTAAAACATTGAGAAAAAATGGCCTTGATTACCTACGAGAAAAAGCGGAAATATCACGAGAAATAAGATCTGCAGAACTCAAGTTAGAAGAACAAAAAATGGATAATGAAAAAGAAAAAATTGCAAATGACAAAGCAAGACTTGCCTTGGAGTCTAAAAGGCTTGAGGCAGAAATTCAAGAAAAAAAACATAGGATAGAGTTAGAACAAAAGAAATCTGAGCAAGATGTCGCTGAAAGAAAAAACTTGAGTGACCTCATCAAAACACAACAAAAGCTTATTGAAGCATTACTGACAAAACTTGATAATAGATAATTTGCCATTAAAAAAATAATATACTGGCCTTATATTGAAATAATAATGTTGATGCTAAGGATGGTGAGCACAAACCAAGTTTGTTGCCGAAAATATATGAAATTGATTCTGCAACTGGTTCCATGTATGAACATAGTAAAACTGTGTAACTTCAGGATCAAACATATTTCATCCACAACTCCTGAAGAAGTTGATTTCATATATTTTCAGCAACATACTAATTTAGTTTTGAAATCTCTTATTGGGTGCTTGCTGCCCTTATGGTTGTAAAATAAATAAACATACATTCCAAACAAGCTTTATTGGTCTTACAAGTCTATAAAAAATTACAAATTATCATCAAGCGTTACAAGTTAGAAACAACCCAAAATTTAGATGTAAAAGATGGCTAGCGCCATCTAAATTTGCGCTAGAGATAGTTTCTTTGCAAGTTTCGTCAATGACGACGCAGGCAAAGCAGAAACCCCTTACGATTTCTGGTCGCTGACTCAGATGAATTGTACAGAGTACAGATACCCCGGTACCAACCAACAGTAGCCGGCCACCAGAGTCGTAACGCAAGGCGTTCACAGGACAAACTAACAATAGCATTTTCTGCAGAACATGCAATAATATAGTCTGATATACTCGTTTGCTTTCCATTGCAAAGAAACTAGTTCTAGCGAAATTTAGATGGCGCGAGCCATCTTTTACATTTACCGTCTTCCCGCTATTTGATAGACCACATTCGCTTGTTTACTTTCCATTTGTCCGCCTTCACGGCTGGACCTGATACAGACCTATACCATACTGATGAGGGCTAAAGAGCCCGAAACAGCGCTGTCTGCGGTTGGTCTTGGCTGCGGCGATGGAAAGCAAACGAGTATTTCAAACCCAAAATGTCCTCTATTTATCAGTGGCCTATGTAGGTCTCAAGTGAAGGTGGATTTGTATTGAAATACATAGCAGTCTGACTACTATACAGGCATGTATGGCAGTTAGTAAGTAGTACAGCCACCTTGTATAAAGCATCAACGTCTTGAAGTAGCATTTTTTGGTTTTTTGAAAAATCTACAAAGGCAAATTCTGATATGACTTTCTGAAAACCCCATTCTACTGCTATCCTTAGAACTTTCATAGCAGAATTGAAACTCTGCTGATGGGCAGGTAAATCTTCCATTCTGCCATGAAATGGGGTAAATAGCACATCACTCAGCCCATATCCTTGATCACCAAATAAAACAAATCGTCTTGTGTCAAAACATGTCTTTTGCACTAATTCTTCAGAGATACCTGACTCCCTAAATATTCTGGCATCATGCCTTCTTCCCGGATATGCGCCTTTCAAACTAACAATAATTCCATCAGGACAAATTATTGATTGGAATTTTATGCAGTGATACCTTTTGTGTCCTGAATAATACTCTTCTTGATTTTCAGAGGGTCGACAAATTTTCCTTGCTGTACCATCGATGAAACCCCAACAATTATTCATAGGTGCTCCTTTATTATGAATAGCCTACAAAAAGCACATTTCAGCATTTTATGAACCAACCATCACTTCAACTATATTACACAATACAATACCTGTGCATAATACTCCAACTTCTCCCTATTAAACCACTGCAATGAATTCAAATTGTTGAGAAGTACAGCATGCTCCTCCATAATCACACTTATCAATTTATTTATGATTTGTGACAAAGACTGAGTTGACAAGTGGAACATAGGGACCATATCACACAATCTGTTTGGATATGCCAGCCGTCTTAGTAGAATGCACAATGCTGTTAAACCTGAAAGAAGATAAATGGAACTTATACTGTGGTTTTCATGTTGATAGAATTCCAGCCTCTGGCAAGTGTTGTTTGAGTCAGAGGATGGAGTTCGATTGAAATGATGAACATATAGCAATAAATATTTAAACAAAATCATACCATCCACTTTATTACGTGTGATAGTGACAATTTCTGAAGGT